ATTATTCACCCTACGTTTAACGCAAACCGGGGGCGCAACGCTCCAACTTCTATAAAACCTTTCCAAGCAATCTATTAAGTCCTCCTCCAGAACGCCGAGGACTTGGGGGAGACCCGCGTCAACCGTGATCGTGCGAAATGACGCGTTTCGCCGGGACCAAGGTAACCACAGCCCGTACTGAATGGGTATTACGACGCGGTGAATCTTGAGAAGTTACGAACCCTCTCGCTCAAGTCCGTCATGGTCTATTCAAGACCCATCCTCTGGACGGCCAAACTCAGGATAAAGGACTGAACGGGTAACGACGCATCGCCCGGGAAGCTACTGTCATGAAAACGCCGGTTTCCCTCCCGAGTTGTGTGTGTGTGTGTGTGTGTGTGTGTGTGTGTGTGTGTGTGTGTCCGTGTGCGTGCGTGCGTGTGCGTGTGTGGGTGTGCGTGTGTGCATTTGTTTGTACTTGTGTCGGTGCATATCATATTTGCAATGAATGATGGCTTCGTTATCTCTCCCGTTCCCAACATCACTCAACCCACCACCACCGCCATCGCCACCAGTTCTCGGACATGCTGCTGTACGCGCGCGAGCAAACCACGATGCATCTCGCTGCAAGGCACAGAGGTGAGCGGCTCTTGTTACCGCTGCTGTTGTTGTTCTCCAAATGGTGTGTGTGTGTGTGTGTGTGTGTGTGTGTGTGTGTGTGTGAATGTGTGCGTGTGTGTTTGTGTGTGCATTGCGACTGCTGTGCGGCCCAACATCTCCTCCTCTTCCCATCGACCGCCAAACTGTCTCAAACTTCGACACGACCATCACCACCATCATCACCATCATCACCATTGCATCACCATTGCATTGCTACCACTGCGCAACCAAACAACACTAGGCGCGTGCGTGCAGTTTGGCTGATGGCTTGTACGGCATTGAGGTGAAGAGCAAGTCGAAGTCGTTCATGCTGTGCACTCCCAACGAGACGGAGCAGCGGAAATGGGTCGATGCCATCACAGATGCTGTTGCGAAGGACCGCGAGACCCGCCACAGCCGCCTCCCCTCAAAGCACAGACGTGCGTGGCGCTTGCGTGGAGTTGCATTGCGTTGTGTGTATGTTGCATTGCGTTGTGTGTATGTTGCATTGCGTTGTGTGTATGTTGTGTTGCGCTGTGTGTATGTTGTGTTGTGCTGTGTGTATGTTGTGTTGCGTTGTGTGTGTGTGTGTACATGTGTTTTGTGTGCTGCGCTTGCACCTCTGTTCGTGTTGCTGCCGTTCATCCTGACGCGCCTCGTACGCCGATGCTCTCCTTCTCCGCCCCGCCCCACCAACAGGAAACACGGAAAAGCAGGCTCGCTTTGGCGACACAGCCCCCGTCTGGGTGCGTGCCTTTGCTCTCTGCTGTGTGGGTGTGTGCCTGTTGTTGAGGTACTCTTTCCTGCTGACATTCTTCTCCGCTTGTGTTCGCACACACACACACACACACGTGCGAGCGCGTCTTTCTCACCCCCACAAATGTCACCGCCATCACCTCCACACCACCTCCATCACCACCACACCGCCAGATTCCTGACCACGATGTGAGCATGTGCCAGACGTGCGCTGCCGAGTTCAACCTGGTTCGCCGCCGCCACCACTGCCGAGCATGCGGCAAGGTGCGCATTCATGTGTGCGCGTGCGAGTGCGTGTATTGTGTACGTGTGTGCGTGCGTGCATGTGTACGTGTGTGAGTGCACGTGTGTGAGTGTACGTGTGTGTGCGTGCGTGCATGTGTACGTGTGTGTGTGTGTGCCTGCGTGTGTGCCTGCCCTTGCTCTTCCTCTCCTTATTCCTTACACATCACCACCATCATTCATCAGGTTGTGTGTTCTGCGTGTTCGGGAGAGTCTGTGCCGCTGGCGTATCTCAACAACGAGCGCGGGCGCGTGTGTCCAGAGTGCTTCGAGAACTACACCAAGACCACGTCCAAGGAATCAGCAGGTGAGGCGGACTGCTTGTTGCACCGCTGGATACATGAGAGCAAAGCACGCAAGCTGTCTCAATCACGCAGCCTCTGTTCGCTTGCAAGTTTGTTGCGTTTGAATCTCCACGTGCTGCGAACATCACAGCCTCGCCCCCCTTCAACCATCAACAACATCAACCATCAACATCATCACCCACGTGTCGTCACACCAACCGACTGCATGACTCATCACCACCCTTCTCTCCCCCCCCCCCCTTCCGACCCCAATTCCACCTCACACCAGCGCTCATGGCGGACCGCAAGCGCTCGCGGCGAAAGCGGACCGTTGACCGTCAGCAGTCCATGCGCGCCGTCACGTCATCCAAGCTGCACAGGGTGCGCTGGCTTGCTGTCCCTGTCACATCGTGGGCGTGGTGTTTGGTGTGGTGGATTGATGGAGATGCCCTTGTCTGATGTGGTGTTTAGGGTTGTGGGAGAGCAGGCTCGCACATGCTCACATGAACGTGCCTTCGTTGTCGTCGTGTCACGTCGTGTCACGTCGTATCACATCGTAACACGTCGTGTCACCCATCGTCAGCCGATTGATCTGGATGACAAGTTCATTGTCTGCAGCTCTTATGTCTTTGAACAGGTGTCATGACCACCTCAACCATGCACGCTGCTGTCGTTCTCACAACACTGCGCTTTTCTACTTGTGTCTCTCCGCAATGATTGTGTCCTCCACGTTGGCTGACACCATCGTATTGCTTTGATCCTTCTGCACCTCACCCGCGGTTTTTGCCATGCTTGCCTCTGTTGTTGCTGCTGACCATTTATTCCCAGGGCAAATTCCGCAAGCAGCGACGATGGCTGCTGCTGCGCAGTGATGGCGTGTTGTTCACCTTCAAAGCACACAGCGTACGTCGTGTGTATGTGTGTGTGTGTGTGTGTGTGTGTGTGTGTGTGTGTGTGTGTGTGTGTGTGTGTGTACTGGCGTGGTGTGGTTGGACATGTGCGTGCAGATGAGCTTGTCCAGTGCTTCGTTCACTCACGATTGCACTTTTGTGACTCCATTTGTGTGTGTGTGTGTGTGTGTGTGTGTGTGTGTGTGTGTGTGTTGCAGGACCCCATTGCTTCCAGCTCACTGCCTGTCTTGAGTTATGAAGTCAGCCGCGCCCTGAAGGTGCGACTGCACTTGTGCGTGTGTAACTTTGAACACGTGTGCATGTTTGCCAGCTGCATGTCAATGCTTGTTTTTTGAAGCGCGCATGGTCTCACGTGTGTCTGTGTTTTGTGGTGGTTGTGAATTTGTGTGCAAGGGGGAGGGCCAGGAGCAGGAATATGGAGTGCGGTTGCACAAACCCTTGCTGAAGGATTACGTCTTCTTCTGTGAACAAAAGGACCAAGCTGATAGGTATGTGTATGTCTGTGCTGTGAAATGGATCCTCGAAGCCCATTGCTTGTGCGCACGTACACTTCGCAATGCACGCGATGACAAGTCTCACAACACACACACACACACACACACACACACACACACACACAGGTGGCTTGAGGCGTTGACAGCTGCGGTGGAGAGCGAGCTGCCAGAGTGGTTTGACGGGGAGGTGTACTCTGATGAGCGGGATGTGGCGACGGAGCCGCTGCAGGAGGAACAAGAAGAAGGTGAAGGCGAAGGCGAAGGTGATCAACAACAACAAGTGCGACACTTCCATGTGAATGACCAAGCAACAGGCAGCCAAGCGTAATTGTGTTTTGTGTGCGTGTGCGTGTGCGTGTGTGTGTGTGTGTGTGGTTGCACTCGAAGCGTCATTCGATTCAGACGCTCTCCTCCAGTTCCCACTGAAATCAGTTTCTTATCTGATTTCAGTTTTTTAGACTGAATCCAGTTTACCAACCATCCGCCAACCACAAACAAACGCAAACAAACAAGCAAGAAGGAACGACGCGGCGTGGGTTTGGTGTTTGCCAAGGAGCAAGCATGAGCGAGGAAGGAAGGAGGAGGTCAAGCATGGGGGAGGAGGGCGAAGAGGCGGTGACACCGAGGACGGAGATACCTCGCGAAGCAAACAAAGCGAAACAAGCGGGCAATCGGCCGCCCAAGACGGACTCTCAAGAAGACGCCAACAATGATGATGATGATGATGTGCGGGATCGTGCCGCACACGACAACACCGACCCCGTTCGCAACAACAATGGCAGCGGCAGCGATAACAACAGCGACGGCGACAGAGGCGAGGGGACGAAGCAGGATACTGCCGCAGGTGATGATGCAGTTGGTACTGGAGATGCTGCCAATGCCGATCTCAACAGGACCTTCAGCAAACGGAGCTCGGCAGCCGCGGTTGATAAGGAAGCAGCGAGTCCTGCGCCGACAACGAGCACTCCAAAGCCGCAGAGATCGAGCCGAGGGGAAGCTGCAAAAGTGAGAATGGCATCGCCCGTGCCACACATCACCACTGACAGCGTTGACGATGGCACTGCAAATGGCGATGAGGGCGGCGAGCAGGACGACGGCGAGGGAAAGCGCAAATCGAAGCGGCTGAGCGAACGAAAGCCAACACGGCACCCGCGCGGAAGCAAACCCGTGGCAGACGCAGAAGCACAAGATGCAGCTGCTGCACAATCACTATCGCCAGATGTCAAGAAGCCGAAAGACACACAGCAGCAAGACAAGCAGCAGCAAGACCGTGGGCAGCGAAACAAGCAGCAAGCCAAGGCTCGCAAGCCACGAAACAAGCAGCCCAATGGCAAAGCACGGCCACAGCAACGGGCGGCAGCATCATCATCACCACCACAGAAGGGCAAGGCGGACCAAGCGGCCCCTGCTTCCACGGAAAACAGCCCATCCACGAAGATGAAGCAGAAGAAGAAAAAGAAGCGTCCAGCCGCCAAGAAACTGGGCCCGGTACAGCAAGCGATTTGTGTGTGTGTGTGTGTGTGTGTCTGTGTGTGTGTGTGTGTCTGTGTGTCTGTGTGTCTGTGTCTGTGTCTGTGTCTGTGTCTGTGTCTGTGTGTCTGCGTCGTGTGCAGGTAGCTCTTCTTTGGCTTCTTCTTGAAGCTCACCTGTTACCTGTTGTTCGTGCGACAGGTGGTGGATTCAAAGCGGTACGGGATCGTGAAACGAAACATCTTGCATGTGTGGATTGCCATTAACCGCAACATCCAAATCCCAAAGACACAGGTTCGATGTGGTGTGTGTGTGTCTGTGTCTGTGTCTGTGTGTGTGTGTGTCTGTGTCTGTGTCTGTGTTACTCTGTCTGCCTGTCTGCCTGTGTGTGTGTGTGTGTGTGTGTGTGTGTGTGTGTGTGTGTGTGATTGGCTTCTCCTCACAGTACATACGCCACTGCACGCATGCGCAGGTGACGCACGACCCGCGATCGGAACCCACATTGGAGCACTTCCTGGACAAGGTTGGTGCTCCCTATGCACAACGCGCCCTTGCATTCAAATGTTGTGTGACAGCTAAGACAAAGACCCGCCAAACACATACACACACACACAACCTACCCCTCAGCGTCACCTCATGCGACCATGTGTGTGTGTGTGTGCTGCAGGTGACGGAGGTGGTGCAGAAGACAAGTCTCGGTCTCGTACGGCGATTGCACGTTGCGAGCGATGGCCGCGAGATCACCAACCTCTCACAGCTGCAGGATGGCGAACTCTACGTTGCGTGCGGCAGCAGGCGCTTCAAGGTGCGTGCAAATGCACGTGTGTTTGTGTGTGTGTGTGCATGATTGTGTGTGTGTGTGTGGATGTGTGCATGATTGTGTGTGTGTGTGTGTGCCCTTGTATGTCTGTCGTGCACAATACTGTAAAGTTCTCTGCTTCTCATTGTGCTTTGTTGCACCCACGTTTTACGGCCTGACTCTTTATGGTGCGAGCTTACAATGCAAGTGCTTGCTGCGTGCTGATAACAGCGTATAAACTACGAGAAGGCGGTGGACTACAGCGTTCGCAACGACAACTACGTCCCGCCAAATCTCGAAGCCATGAAGGCAAAGTTTGACAAGCCCACGGACGGTCAGTGTAGTGTGTGTGTGCGTGTATTTGTATTTGGCTCATGTGTGCGGAACTCTCAGCGGTGACACTCTTCATGCCCCACTTTTTCTTCACACGCAGCACTGCTCTCCCCTCACTGCTCTCTCTGTCTCTGTCTCTCACCCACTTCGCTCCGCTGTTGTACAGGCCCAAGCATCTTCGAGAGCCATCTTGATAAGGCCCCACTGGTTGTGTATCTTGTCTACAATGGCGAGTCGTCGGGCGATTACACGCAGGTCCTCCTCACCAAGACCGAACGCCACTCCTTCGAAAAGGTGATTGGCGCGGAAGGGGGTGAATGGATGGTGTGGGGGTGGCTTGTAGGTTTTCGTTTGCGCATTTTTTCGTGCGCTGTTTCGTGCGTTGTACAACGTCATTGCTCACACACACACACACACACACATTCAACACACACACACACACACACCAGGTGCTTGATGTGATGAGCGAGAAGATGCGGCCTGTGCTGCAGTACCGCGAGATCCGACACCTCTTCACTCTCGGCGGTGCACCCGTCACCACGCTCGACCAGATCAAGGATGTGCGTGAGGGCGGGGTGTATGTCGCTGTTGACCGCCTCCCACTCCACCTCCCAAACGTCCGCCTGCAGAACGGGTGCGTTGCTGTGTGTGTGTGTGTGTGTGTGTGTGTGTGTGTGTGTGTGTGTGTGTGTGTGTGTGTGTGTGTGTGTGTGTGTGTGTGTGTGTGTGTGTGTGTGTGTTGTGTGTGTTGAGTGTGTTGTGCGTGTGTGTGCTCGCATGTGTGCGTGTGTGTGCTTGCATGTGTGTGTGTGTGTTTTGTGCGTCTTCATCTGTGTCTGTCCGTCCGTCTGTCCGTCTGCATCAACTGTCTTACACCACAGCAGCCACGCCCACCGTCTCTTTTCCTTCATGACCAAAAACTCACATGAAGGCCACTTTGTGCCCTTGCAACAGTCGTATTGTGCCCGTGACCCCGCCCACACGCCTGCCGCAACTCAACGGCCACAGCCCACACAAGCGTCACAACAACAAGCACAGCCACAACAACCACGACCACAAACCCCACAACTACCACCACCACGACCACTACGCACATGAGTCCAAGTCACCTGAGAGACACGGCGATGCTGCGAATGGGTTCCAAAGCGACCCCTACCAGCAGCCCGAGCACGCGCAGCCGTATCATGAGCAGGAGTATGACCAGCAGGGTGCTGGCGACTATGGTGGGTATGATGACGGTGTGAGTGAGCCAGTGCCACCGAAACCACGTCGCGCCAGCAAGAAGGAGGCCAAAGCAAAGCGCAGGAGCAAGGAGCATGCAGAGGCAAATGACAGCTTCGATGCGCACGACCAACAGGTGTGTGTGTGTGTGGTGTGCGTGTGTCGATGTGTGTTTGTGTGTCGTGTTGTGTGTTTGTGAGTCGTGAAATGAAGCATGTGTCCACATCGGCGCATGTGCGTGCACGTGGTGAAAACGCATGTGCTGACCTCATTCTCGCGCTCATTGTGGGCAGGCGGAGCAATCGCCCGGGAAGGAGAAGAAGCGGCGCGGCTCCAAGTTGGGCCGGCTCTTCGGTTTCGGTGTCCAGCACATGGAGGACGACAACATCGAACACAAGTCAGCGCACATGGGTGTTACATGCCGTGTGTGTGTGTGTGTGTGTGTGTGTGTGTGTGTAATTGGTTGTGCGTGGTTGTACTAGTTTCTGTGTGTGGCGCTTACACCTTCCTTCTCTCCCACTCTCACCCACGTACACACACGCACACACATACACACACATACATACATACATACATACATACATACATACATACATACATACATACATACATACATACATACATACATACATACATACATACATACATACATACATACATACATACATACATACATACATACATACATACACACATACACACACGCACACACACACATACACGCAGGTACGATGGGTTGGTTGCGAACATCCTGATGTTTGTGCTGAGCCGGGAGGAGGTGTCGACGTGGCAGACGCCCGACGGAAATGCATTCCTCCACTTCCAAAACGCACTGGCAGCAGCAGAGGAGGGGCGCCTGTCGCACTGGGAGCACCAGCCCGACTCGCTCGCTGCGCTGCTGGTGCTGCTGGACCACCTCCCGCGCTCGCTCGAACGCGATCCGCAGGACATCTACCGCCTCGACGCCGTCTCGCTCGCGGTGCGACGAGGATGAGGAGGTGCAGGAGGAGGTGCAGGAGGAGGAGGAGGAGGTGGTGGAGGAGGTGCAGGAGGAGGAGGAGGTGGTGGAGGAGGAGGTGGAGTGCGACAGTGGCTTGTTTCGGAGAGGCAAGTGGGGGATGAGGTAGTGGTGCACTTGGCTCTCATGTCGCTGTTCACAACCAGCGTGTGGTGTTGGTGTGTATGCCTCGAAAGTGTCTGAAAGTCTGCTCAGCTCACGTTCACCTTCCGATTTGTGCGTGTGTGTGTGTGTGTTTGCACTCCGGTGTTAGATTCTCCTTCGGTCTGTTGACAGCGGCGTGTTTGAAGGCCTTGATCCACTGCATAAGCTGTTTGCTTGCTTCGTCCTCAGCCGGCAAGAAGAGCCGCAATACCAGGTGCGTCACGATCAGTGTGCTCACGCACCTCAATCCTTTTGTTCCTTTCTAACATAAACACCGCACACTCACTCGCGAACTCACCCACTCACATCACACCACACCACAGGAGATGTGCATTCGCATGTGGGATATGCTGAAGCACCACCTGCCCAAAGGATATGGCCAGTTTGGGAAGACCTTCAAGCGCAACCGCGACATTATCAAGCGGTTTGGGCGCTTTCCCGGACGCAACGACGTGCTGGGCCGGGAGTCCACCCCAGACGAGGTCAGGTTCCTGCTCGGTGATCGGAAGAAGAGCAAGCGGGCTGCGCGTGCGCGTGCAAGTGACGATTACGACAGCGGTGATGCTGCGTCGCCAGCCGCCCGCCGCCAACAACAACAGCACCAACAGCACCAACAGCACCAACAGCAGCAGCAGCAACGGCGGTCCAGGGGATTGTTTGGGTCGAAGAAGAAGAAACAGCAGCAACAGCAGCAACAGCAGCAACAGCAGCAGCAGCAACAACAGCAGCAGCAGCAGTGGGGCAGTGGCCGTGCACCGCGTCCTCAACGCAAGCTTGGGAGACACGCAAGCCGCACCTTCCAGTCGCTCAAGCCACTGGCGACAAAATGATCTCTCGACGAGTGGTTGTGTTGTGTGTGTGTGTGTATTTTGTGCGCGTGCCAAGGTGTATGTGAACATATGTGGACCTCGTCACTGCCCAAGTGCCACAGGTTGGTGATAGTGAGTGACTTATGTGCCTTATCTTACGATTCAGCGTTCTGTTCCGTTACATGATTCGATGATTTGATTTGACTTGCCTTCTTTTTCTTTCTTCTTCTTTTTTTTTTTTGTTTGTGTTCTCATTTGTTCATTTTCATTCATTGCCCCTGACGTAATCGAAGAAATGATAGACGGTGCTTGTTTGGTGTGGATATACGGGTTGATTGCCTGTGTTATCAGCTTTGTTATGTTGCATTACATTCCGTACATCTTGGTAGATCATGGTATGTGTGTCTTTGTGTGTTTGATACGTTTACATTGCCTCATGTCAGTTGTGCTTGATGGTGGTTACATTACAACCTTCAGTCATCCTTTTGTATTGATGTGTGGTACTTGTGCTTCCGCAAGGAGCTTACCGCACACACACACACACACACACACACACACACACACACAAGAGCGTACGAACATGAAAGAACACCCATTCGCAAAGGAAAAGGAGCAACAGCAAAACAAGCCAATTTGAGGAAGGTGCCATCGTGCAATGCAGCGCACAATCAGCAATCACCACACAGCTCAGGGCAATTTGTGATGTTGACACTCGCGTCAACGCACAAGCAGGTGCCAAGGCCTTGGCAGTCCAAATTCGTCAGGGAATTGCCCTGGACATGAAGCGGCCCGTCGATCACAGTCAGGTTGTCCCAGGCGATAGACCTGATGTTGTTATCGGACAAGAAGAGGCCCTCTCCGATTCGCGTCACATCACCAAAATGTACGGATTCGATGTCGCCGACACTGAAACGCACCACTCCACTGATTTCACGGACATTCTGAAAGTTCAACGTTGCAAGCTTTGGGAAATACGCCTGAATATCGCCTCCGATGAAGGTAAGCTGCTGGAAGTCGATGCTGGCGAGGCTGTTTGCCAAATTCAGGAAACCATCGATGTGCTCAATACGAGTCATGTTCACGTGAAAAAGCTGGGAAGCGTGAATGAACAACCCGCCGTTCACCCTGGTCAAGGTACCGAAGTCCACAACCTCGCTGAGGGGGCTGTGGTCGACTTGGATTTCGCCCGTTTGTTGAAGGGGTGTGAAGTCGAGGCTCTTCAGCTTGTTGCTGTACCGCAGGTGCAGCGAACCTTCGATCGATGTCACTTTCCCAAAGTCAACAGAGGTAACTTGATTGCCAGTACCAGCAAGCTCATACAGGCTCGATATGTTCTTCAGATCAAGTGTAGTCAGAGGATTGAGGCCAACAGACAATCTCTCAACACTTGTCAGGGCACCCATATCGAGGGTTGTGATGTCATTGGAGCTGAAGGATAGGGTTCCTCCCACCCGTTCGAGCCCCAGCAGATTCACGGAAGTGAGGAACATGCCAGAGGCGAGGAAATCGCCACCAACTTGCTGTAAGGCGCCCAGGTCGACCTCAACAAGGAAGTTGTCGTTGAGATCCACTGTTCCCCCCACTGTGACAACATTCATGAAATTGACAGCGGTGAGAACGTTGTCTGTCACGGTCAAATCACCGCCGACACTCTGCAGCGCGCCCAGGTGTAGTGCCGTCAGGTGGTTTGACTGCATGTTAAAATCGCCTCCAATCTGGCTGAGTTGGTTCAAGTTCAAAGTCGTCAGGTTGTTGCCACCGATGTCGACGGTGCCTCCGACGAACCTCAGATGTCCAAAGTCGACGGAGGTCAGCTGAAGTGAGGAGGCGAAAACGCTGCCAGAGATGCTCGTCACACCACCGAAATTCAACGCTGCGGCGAAATCGGTCACTGTGATCGAACCCGTCACCAAGGACAGTGCGTAGAACTCCTCACAGCAGCAATTGAATACCTCGCTTACGCCGCATGCATTCACCAGGCTGACAGCTGCTCGAGAATTCGAACTCGCACAGTCGAGATCCACCGACGACGGTGATGTACATGGGACGGTCGTTGATGTTGTAGTGGAAGTTGGCGTCGTGGCTGGGCTGCTGGTGGTGGTCGCCGTTGTTGTGGTGGGTGTGGTGGTGATGGCCATGGCGATTGTTGTTGTTTTGTTTCCTCTGCCGCTGCTTGCAGTTCCGACGCCGATGACGGCGACGGGCACGGCAACCACAGCCGTCAAAACAAGAAGCACAACGACGATAAGCGCCACGAGCCTGCGCCAGCTCCATGGGTGCTTGACACGCACATCGCCGACCACTTCCACCAAGTCTTCTGGGGAAACTGGGAGTTGTGGCCACCCACCACTTGAGCCACCATTCGTGCCCTGAAGACCCATGGCCGACGCATAGTCGTAGATCACCTCATCTTCCTTTGGGGGTCTGACCTGGTGCTGTAGCTGCCCACGCAAAGAAATTCACAGAGAGGGTTGCGTTAGGCCGCAGCACAATGGGTGGGGTTGAACGAAACACGTGCGAGGAGATCGGCGAGTTCGGTACAAAGAACTTACCGAGCATGGAATGATCTCCTGAGCGGAGGTGAGGTGTGCCACCACATCTGCCAAGGTTTGGCATGGCGCGGACAAAGGGGTGCCATCGAGCAGGAACTGTCCAGCGTCATCGTTTGTGACCGCGTGATGAGTTGTCTCTTTGGCTCCAGTCACCTGTGGGAACCGTATGCCAATTTTCACACGGTGCAAGCAGTGACAGCAGAGCAGCAGAAAGGCAACAGCCCTGACGAGTGAGGAGTCACGATGGACATGGAGCGAGCGATCAAAGCAGGTTATGGGCTTGACATGAAAGACAAGGAAAGGTGAGGCAGCTGGGTGCAGACATATTGTACACATATTGCATAGCATGTGCACCCACGAACCACGCTGATGGTGAGTTGACCGTGCGGCTTGCGACGCCACAGCAAGAAGTCGCCAACAGCAGCGTCTTGACGATCAAGCAAAGCTTTGTCTGCCTCGTCAGATGTCATGGGGTTGCGAAAAATGCCATTGGCCCCAAGCCCAAGGAACCCATCCCTGTATGGCAGTCCTTTTTCGTTTTCGCCGTGTGGGAGATTCTTATGAAGATCAAACAAAACAAGAGCGTGGCGAGTAAGGAAGGAGGCACAAGAAAAAAAAAAGGGGGGGGGGGCGGGGGGCGGAGGAGAGATAGGCACCAGTCCAAGCTGCTCTGAACGAACGTGTCATCACGATGAAATGTGTTCAAGCCTGGGAAGCAAAACTGTGGTGAACGATATCACGAACCCTCACACACAGACATACGTGAACTCCAAAACCGTACCGCATATTTGTCAAGGATGGCCGTCACGAGTGATTCTGGGACGTCGTGTTCGTCATCATTTCCATTGACCCTCCAGGCATGATAAGCGATGGTGTTGGTGAGGTAAAATTGGGCAGCGGGTGCCAAGAATTTGGCGCACATCTTGACCAAGAAGAACGGCTTGTCCTGGTGAATGATGTAGCGTAGCTCTTCAAAGGTGCTGATGAACTTGTTCTCAGTCTTCTCCCCGTACGTTGGCGACCCCAAGATGATGACCATTTTGCACGAGTGCAAGGCATCAATGATTGCTGTCGCAATGTCTCCACCGGGAGCAACAGCACACAAGAACACACTGAAGCCCTGTTTGGTTAGCGCCGCTTTGAGCGCTTTGGCTGCGCCCAGCGCTTCGTTGAACCGCACAGAGATGAACAGGTCATATGGGCCTGATTCAGCTTGAGGAGGATGAGGATTGTACGCCGTCATTCTTCTTGAGAACGTGAATGGGCTGACCTCTTGCTGACGATGAGACGATGGTGAGGGCGTGGGTGTATGTGCTGTGCCCGTGTGCTGTCTTGTCTTCTTGTTTGTTGGTTGAAGTAGGCGTGTGGGTGTCGGTCAGAGTTTTGCATGCAGGCATGGGAAGAAGTGTGGCAGTGAGGAGCGGGAAGACTTTTTGAGTTCACATCACATCAGGGAAAAATTAAAAACCATGACTCATCAACTGCGACTCTTTTTTTTGGTGTCTTTTTTTTGTCAACGATTCGACGCACAATTAAGAGCCATCCCCTCCAAAGTTGTGCGAACAGAACAACAAACACAACAAACAACGTGCACACACACACACGCGTTCCAGCCAGCGAGACAGAAAGTCAAGCAAGCAAAGAAGCAAGCAAAGCGCGGGCCTCTCCTTCCACCTCCTTCCACCTCTGATCTGCCTGGTTGTCTCGTTCGACATCGCTTCCACTGGGGCCCACCCATCCTTCTCCAATCACGCCACCACCGCGGACATGTCTGCGTCTGAAAAGGACCCTCTGGTGCGAGCGCTTCTGCTTGCTTCACGTGCCATCGCATTTGTCGTGCTCGTGGTTCATGTGGTTTGCCTTTGGAGGGGCAACGGCTATCGGTCTCATTGTTCATCCGGCTTTGTCCAACTCCCTTCGTTGTGTCTCACATGATACCCCCTTCCAAACACATACGCGCACTCCCACATGCGATGTTTGCCTTGGCAGCTCCCGTCCAACAAGGACACCTCCATGTGAGCCTTGAGCCATGTTGTGCATCTGGTGTCTGTCTCAGATGATTTGTGTGCCGTTGATGGCAACGTGCCCACCACGGCACAGCTACAGCGCCACATGCAGCACACGTCTATCACTGCTCATCATGCCCCTCTGCCGTCATGCCTGTGTTCTTCGCAGCCAAACTCGAACACCACCAGACGCTGTCTCGCAGCTCTCCAACAGCGGAGGTGAGTTTGTTCGACTTGAACACCTCTGTCGAGAGAATGAGAGAGATGAGGGGGGAGAGCAACCGTGTAGGTGTTTGTAGGTGTTTGTACGCGTGTGTGGAGTGTGTAGTGTGTGTGTATGCGCGCGCGCGTGTGTGCGTACGCGTGTGTGTGTGCTGTTGCGGCGAGTTTGTGCGGTTGGTGGCTTGGATCGCCTCACCAACCTTTCGTTGCACCACTCTTCCGTGGGTTCAGATGCGTCTTCCGAACAGCGGCAGCCGTTTGACATCAGCGGACGGCGACTCACGCGACGCAGCAGCGAGCTGGCACAAGCACACCTCCAGCGGTTGAAGTACGTTCTGATTTTTTTGTGTGTGTGTGGATGTGTGCGTGTGTGTGTGTGTATGTATGCGTGTTCTCGAGTGCGCATCATGCCTCAAGGCTTTGGTTGCGGATTCTTTGGCATCTCATATCACCGCGTCATCGCATCACCGCACCTCCATCACGAATCATTGTCATCCCTACAGGCTGTACAGTAGACTGGCTCCCGCCAACAAGCCAAACAGCATTGTATGTCGCACAACATGGGTCCAACACGATCACAATCACATACACACTCACACATATACAACCACGTTCACGTACATGCCTATGTACACGCCTCCTCTCTCCTCCATCACGTTTGCGCTGGCCTGCCACCACCCATGTGCTCACCTCCCATCACGCCAATGCCATGCCGACGCCATATCATCAAATCACCACCACCGCCACCACCATCAGATTATGCCGGCGCATGTGCTGCCCGATTCGATTTTCGTCATTGGTCTCCCAAAGGGAGGAGAGCAGAGCTCCTACGTCACAATGTAAGCCCGTCAACGACCTGTGGTGCACTACATAGTTTGGGAGTGGGAGGCAAAGGGATGTTTGGTCCCTCTCACCTGCTGTGACACACACACACACACTTGAATATCCACGTTTACACGAATAACTGCACTCTCACCAACACTCACAACGCACACATACAACTGCACACATACAAACACGCATACACACACACACTCACAACGCACACATACAACTGCACACATACAAACACGCATACACACACACACGCATACACACACACACGCATACACACACGCACACACACACACACACGCACACACACACACACACACACACACACACACACACACACACACACACACACACACACACACACACACACGTTCGCGCCACGTTGCCAGCCTGTCGCTGTGGAACACGATGATGGGGACGTCTGTGCTTGCGATGCCGTGGGCGATTTCGCAGGCCGGGTTTGCGCTCGGGCTGCTGTGCATTGTCATCATGTGTGGCCTTGCCCTCTACACCTGTCAGATTGTGCTCGCCTCGGGCCAGGGCGGACGAAGTAAGGAAGCACGTTGCAATGGTGGTAGTGATGGTGATGATGGCGTGATGATGGTTGAAGGTGGGAGGGGGTTTTGAGGTTGAAGAAGGAGAACATGAAGGGACTTTGGCACGGGTGCGTGTGTGCCTTTGCATGCATGCGTGTGTGCGTATGTTTATGGACACTGAGCGTGGAGCATTGCTGACGACGCGTTGTCACGGTTGCCTGTTGTCGCTGCAGTGAACGGGACGGATGTTGAGTTTATTGACGTGTGTCTGCACTATCTGGGCAAGAAGGCGTACATTGTTGCCATGCTCTTCAGCGTCCTCACCCTCGTCGGCGCTTGCATGGTCTACTGGGTACGCCATCATGTTTTGGCATGTGTGTGTGTGTGTGCGTGCGTGTGTGTGTGTGGGCGTGGGCGTGTGTGTGGGCGTGTGTGTGGATGTGGATGTATGTGTCGGCGTGTGTGTGTGTGTGTAGATGTATGTGTGTGCGGGGGGATGTTTGCATTTGCTCGTGCAAGTTTTCGAGTGCAGTCATTATCGCTTCTGCATGTGCGTCTTTGTCGTGGTTTTGTGGAGGCCCAATGCCCTACAAGAGCCTTTGCCACATCACCTCACCACGCCCTCTCCTCACACATTGACGCCACGCGTTGACCCATGCTGCGCAGGTGCTGATGTCCTCGTTCCTGTACACGTCTGTCGACTACTTCCACGCCCCGGGAAATCACACGGACGAGGGCACATGGTCAGTATGCGGATGCGCCTTGCATCAACGTCGGCGGAAGGCTGACACGGTGCTCCTCTGGCACGTTTCACCCTGGCTGATACACATACACACATAAACACATGCACGCACACATACCGACACAAAGTACACGCATACCAGCAAGCACACACAAATATTAGCACGCACGCACACACACACACACACACATTAGCACACACACACACACACATTAGCACACACACACACACACACACACACATTAGCACACACACACACATTAGCACACACCACACACATTAGCACACACACACACACACATTAGCACACACACACAAGTATATGAACAGACGCAAACACATGTACATGCATGTGTCAGTGCAACGAATGGTCGTCCTGAGCCACTGCTGTCCTTCCTCACATATTCGTCCCCTCGTGCTTCTTCCTTCCTTTCATTCTTCTTTGTCTCGGTTGCGGCGTGTGCAGGGGCGACTACTGGAACACCTCGTATGTGCCGCTGTATCTCGTCATCATCGTCTTTCCGCTCCTCAACTTCAAGTCCCTCTCCTTCTTCACCCGGTTCAACTCGCTCGGTACAGCATGCTACCTGGATGATGCCACCGTGTCTTGTGCACGCACACACACACACACACACACACACACACACACACGCACACGCACGCACACACACACACACACACACACACACACACACACACACACACACGCACACACACACGCACACACACACACACACACACACACACACACACACACACACACACACACACACACACACACACACACACACACACACACACACACACACACACACA